AAAAAAAAAAAAAACGAAACGAAACGAAAAGCAAGAAACCAAAAGTCCACACACTAAGATTGAATGAGAAAAAAGCATTTTCGCTTTATTATTACATTTTTCAATTCGATATTGGTATTATTGTTGTTCTTGTCGTTGCTGTTGCTGTTACTGTTGTTGTTGCAATTATGTGCCTATTAATGGGCTAAAGAAGGTGATTGTATAGCAAAGCATAGAAATGAAAACTGTTCAGTAAATACTTACTTACGAATGCCGACTAACATCAATCGTTGTAATGAACATTGTCGAATTTTCGAACTACGACTACTACGCTACTATACTACTGCTACACTAGTACACTACTATCACTAATACTAACATTATTGATAGTACTGCTACTAATACTAATGCTAATATTACTACTGCCACTGCTCTTACTATTGCGGTAATAGACTTTCCAAACTAACGAGCATTAACTGATTGTTATTGTTACGGCCACCGCTACTACAGTCATATATAGAAATGTATATATCATTGCCTCTTCCACTTGCAGCGAAACAATCTTTTCCTTTTTTTTTTTTTTGATGTTTTTTAATAATAACAAAACGCCTGTTTATTTAACTGATGCTGAGTACACTTTGTTGTAGTTCTTGTTATATAGCGTTGAAAAGCATGACAGCCTAAACGACCGACATACTGATCAACAAAATAGACAAACACAAGCATGGACATCAAGAGAGTAAAGTAGCTTAACTCAAATGGACAGGCAACCTGGCAACATGGCAAACTGGCAGTCACCCAGTCAGGCAGTTAGGCAGTTAGGCAGTTAGGCAGCCAGGCAACTAGGCTGTTAGACATTCACTGGCAAGCATATGATTGTGTAGGCGGCGTATTAGCTTCAATCAAAAAGTAAATACGAATGAGACCAACAACAAAAGGGTATATCTATGTCAAAATATTGTTATTGTTGTTGCTGTTGCTGTTATTAAATGCATTTTCATATAAATATCATTTTACTGCATTTTAAATTTTAACTCTAATCAATGCATTAGACTTGATGTCTGTCTGTCTACTCGACTTGTAAGAGCAATTATTGTTAAACTATAATATTTATATGTATGTATGGATATGTATGTGTAAGCCTAATATGTATAGAATTATAGTATCGTTTACTTCTAAGGCAAAACAAACACAAGCACACAGATATATATATATATATATATATATATATATATATATAAATGCACATTCATATGCAAGCAATTCAAAGTCATTTAGGCCATTTCTTCTTCCCTTAGCCATTAAACATTAGTTTTAATGCAACACTATCATCATTCATTGTTATTGTGCATAGAGTAAAACCTTATGGTAGAGTTTATGTTGCCGCAGTTATTCTATCCCATTGTCTTTTATTGCATATGGTTGCTGATACGGTTGATTCTTTGCGGACATTGTGGGCTGCTCTCAATAAACTCAGAAGTTTCATTTCGTTTGCTTTTCCATTTTTGCGCGCACAGATAATATTGATGATTGGTCTCTTTATTATAAATGTTGTCTAAGCTTGCATGAAGTAACTTAAAGAGCGTTTGCCTATAGTTTTCATTTCTTACATTTCTTAAGCAGTTCCTGATGATTGTTTTGATTTGCTTTGATTTGGATCGTCAACCGTATTATGAAAAATATAATTAAATGCAAGAAAGCAAAAAAAAAAAAAAAAACGGAAGAAAACTAAACTCAAATGGAATACGAAAAAAATACGAAATGAATATCCCTTTCATATATACATATATATATATATATATACATATATATTTATATATGGAAGACTTTATATATTGCTATGCATATGTCATATAATAACTTGATTAATTTCAAAAAAACTTAATCGATTTAACTAACCACCTCTCTCTCTCTCTCTCTCTCTCTCTCTCTCTATGTATCTCTGCTTGTAAAAAATAAATTTTCGAGCTTATAAACTCTAGCCACTCTAGCCAAAGCATTAAACCTAAAGTTAAACGGTTCATAAGCACCGATAAACTGATATAATTACGCTCTAATCGCAGGAGAACTTTTGCATACCATAAGGAAACATCGGTCCGCTCTGAAATATTCTCATACAAAACATGACTAATAATAAAGGCGAAGACTTCAGTTGGGCAAGTTAAATAAGCCAAAGGATTAAGGGCAACTAATCATCTCAAATTCAATAGTCGGCTATATTTAAAGTCGGCTATAATTGAACGAGAACAGCTTCCTTCCTACTAATAAACGCTTAGCTGAGGTTGACACGAACAACCTTGATCAGGATATATTTTTGGCTTAACTTCCTTTCTTTGATTGCGAATCGAGGAGCTAATCGTCAACGTCGTCATTAAAGCATGATGTTATCTTCTTCAACCTTTTCAAGCTCGCCTCACATACATTTATTTATTTCGCCTGGACGTTTTTGTTTGCCTTTTATAGTCGATTCATCTAATTCAAATTCTTTACCAAGAGCTGTGGACCTCTTACCTTCTGCTATTCGTTTTAAACTTGTAGTCGCAGCTTCTAAGGAAATTATCTTCCTCTTCGCTTTGCTCTTGCCCTTATTTATTTTCACTTGTCACTTGCGCAGATCAGAGACGAATAAATTAGAACAACTCTTCGCTCCCTGGGAATAAACTGTTCTACCTAGTCGTTAATACGAACGCATGGGACTATGCGCCAACTATCTCATTAGCAGAAAACTAACAGAGACAGAACCGATCAAATCTACTAATTTTTTTTATGTCTTCGTCAATTATGTTCCAATGTTGATTACAATTTTCATATACCGCACAAAAAGTGTACATATTCGAGTATATATGTTTATGTATGAACGAATAAGTGGTGTGGCTACTACAGGCGATCGATCCAATTATGCGCATTCTGAATAATCCTTTTCCTACTGATAAATTGATATTGCAATTAGAAGGACATTGAGCCGAAGTCATTGGCTTATAATTACGCGGCAAACGCGAAGGATTATGAAGGCTATGTGTGACTGTAATTGCTGGTAAATATTCTCAGATTTCAAGACTACGCAGGGATAACTAGGTAACAGAGGGTATCAACCAAGCCACCTAAGTGGGAAAAAAAAACGTTGCTGGATATTTTTTAATAAGCGGACCGTATGGCACGGTTACATTCGAGAGTGCGATGAAGTAGACAGTTGTAAAGTCGATTGCAAAACATGAGCATCGTAGCTCTTTGCATTTGCTTAAAATTGAAGACAAAAAAAAAACTTGAGCACTAAGGTAATCATAAGAAGTTTTAAAAAAGTTTATCTTTGTTGGTAATTGTGTGGCGAACACAACGAATGATACAAATTGAAATCTTCGTTGCAGATTACAGATTATATTGCAAACTAGAGAAATATATTTGGGAAATAAGTTGAACATATATATGTATGCAAATTTATTCATTCATGTAGACGCAGGAGAAATGATTTTTATAAATTAATTTTTGCAATTTTCTCTATTATTCGCATTTTGTTCGTTTCTAATTTTAGGTGAAAAACCGTATACCTGTCAGTGGCCGGAGTGTGAATGGCGTTTTGCTCGATCCGATGAATTGACGCGTCATTATCGCAAACATACCGGCGCGAAACCGTTTAAATGCATAGTATGCGAGCGTAGTTTTGCTCGTAGTGATCACTTGGCATTGCATATGAAGCGACATTTACCCAAAAATAAATGATGAGTTAATGATAATAATTTGTGTCGAATAAAAAAACATAAAAGCAAAGAAAAGAAAACCTTAAGAAGAAGTATAAAGTTTATAAAATAAGTTTAAATCATGTTCATCTATAGCAAAAGAATCCAAAGGACTTTAGTTGTACTTAATATTTAAAAAAACAAAAAAAAAAAAGAAAAAAAAAAATTAAGCCATACAAGAAAAAAGAAAAAATCTATAAATTATCAGAGAACAAAACCGGAAGCGTAGAAAATTTCCTATAAGTTGTAATTACAAAAACAAAATAAAATTTAATAAAGCTAAACTTAAGTTATATCCATTTATTGTGACCATAAATATAACAATTGTTTGTTAATTTATAAAGACATAAAATTTTGTTGTTATTTTTTATTTAGTTTGCTACAAATTTTTTTTTTTTTAATATTTTTTTTTTTTTTCATTTACATCCTTAATCGAGCAGGAGTTTCGAAAAAAGTTTTTGTGTAATCTTTTTTTTTTTTTTTTTCAAGAAAAGAAACACACAACAACGTAAATTATTATTTTTATATCAGGAAATGTATGTCTACTAATAATTCGTTAAATCTTTTCACCACGTAGATAGTCTATGAAAATATATACAGTCTACATGCTTGTCCGTCGGTCAGTCCACCAGCTAAAGTCACGATTACAATCCAAAAAAGTTTCGTCTTGAAGAAAAAAAAGAAAAAAAATTGTTATCAAATTTTTTTTTAACACTCTAGCAAGGTAACCACGGCTTCAATATATCTTAAAATTTTTGATTTTGATTATCGAACTTAAATGCTTTCTTAATGAAACCTATGGTTCAAAATCGAAAATGATGAAAATCGCATGAAACGCTCACCCATACCTTTATGAAAAACATCATTTACACATAAGCTTTTTAGTTTGCCCAGGTATCTGCCAAGTGCTTCGAAATATGATTTCTTATTTATATATAGGTCGCATGCAAGGGGGGTCTTTCGTTAAGAGTGATACTTTTTAAAATTTGAAGAAAAAACAATTTAGCGTATCAAAGTCCATTGCGAGTTACTTTAAAGCTTGGAAATTGCATTTATGTTCGCAACGAAATATCGTTCAAATCACATTGACCCACACGATGGCTTCAGTTGGCAATTCCTGTGTTCAGCTTTAATTGCGTTATGTCTAAAGCTTGTCTTTGGGTCTTAAGGGCGAATTTGTAGAAAACCACGCCTTGAGACGATTCAACTTAAATAAATCGAACGAAGCATCAGCTCTATAGAACGTAGCGCCGTCCTGTTGACATCACATGTTTTCAATGTCATATTCTGGCCACAGAAATTCGCGCGAGATGGATCTGCAGTGATTTGCATTGACGGTAACCGTTCGTTTTTCATCGTCTTTAAAGAAACAAGGCTCAGGGACTTCACCACGCCATAAATCGCCAAACAACGCAGAAACATTTGTTTTGAATGCAATGGCCTGGTGAAGCACCTCCGGGATTTTCGTGCTCCAATAACAACAATTTTGTGAAAAAGAAGATGATCTTTCAAGGAGGAGCATCCATAACTGAGTTGCCACTTTGCTAAAATATTTTACTAATTACTAAACATGCGGGAATCATGAGTTGCTGCATAATGCAATTGCTGCAAATTGTCACATATTGAACGAAAAAAAAATAAATAAAGACAAACATATTTGAAAATGGAAATTACAATCTTGAAAAGTATCAGTCTGAACCAGAGACCCTTGCAGACAAAAAGGTTATGAATAAAGTGAGAATCGAAGTTAATTGAAATCCTGTTCGAAATCTTGTTGTCTGCAGTTCCTTTAGACGATTGATTTTACTTGCTTTACTATAATTTAAATTGAACGTTACTGGGCTCGTTTTTTAATAACTCAAAAGTACTTCTGAGTGACAAAATCACAAGGATCAAGAATTCAAAAGGATCGTTAACTCATAATAACAGTTGTAAAGTCGGGGAACCATTGGTATGAGTTTTTTGAATTTTTTTAAAAATTCTTTTTGGAAAACTGGTAAAAGTGATGATAGAAGGGCTTATATGCTCCGTCATAAATGAGCGTAACTTCAAAGTCTCTTTAATTACAGGTAGGAGGATAGTATTTCACCTTTGCCTTAAGATAGAGTATACGTTTTATTGTTTCTAATCCTTCCTCTAATCGAAATAATTGTATATTATATGCTTTATTTTAACAAAAAAATAAAAAATAAATAAAACAAAAAAAAAAAAAAAGAAAACAAAAGAAAAACAACAAGAAACACTTTTAAACAACGTTTTCTACTTTACTTAGTCTACCACTGTATAATTATGCGCAAAAACATATCTGCATGACTACGCGCTCGTGCGCGCATATGTTTATGTACGTGTGTGTGCATGCAATTATTATTTATACGGTAAATTAGTTTGTAATTTTGTGTTATTTAGATATTTGTGCATAAATGTTTTACATGAGTTTCTAACAACATACGCATTAAAGAACAAAAAAAAATAAATAAAAATAAAAAAATTAAAGAAAACCAAACCCATACTAGAAATAATGAAAATTTATCTGAAAATTAAGAAAAAAAAAAAAAAAAACATTATACCTTGTTTTGGCTAAATATCTCTACGTAAACTAAAAGCCTAAGAAAAACAAAATAAAATAAAAACAAAATAAAACGAAAACAAAAGAATGAAAAAGAAAAACGATTTAAAGAAAACAGTTATCAATTCCAGATAAAATAAGAAAAAATCACAAGGCAACAATCACCAAAGTGCTGGCACAAAAGTTAAATAAATTTGAGAAAATTAGAAAAAAATCTTGTCTTTGAAGTTTCATTTATGTATTGAAAAGTGACCGGGAGATGCTACGAACTTTATTTAGCTCCTCATCATCATTTCCCCCAACTATTCAATTACTAACGGATCAAAGTATAATCAATCCTAGTATCGATTAGGTATGTAAACGAATTATAGAACATTCGACATACATATGTTACATGCATGCTACACGGGATTTGTAAAGCGAACGAAAATACGTAACATAAGTAAATAATTCAAGAGTTTTTTTAATCAATGCACTCACTATTCTGAATCGATTCACTCATGGTCCTTAATTCTTCCTGCTCCTCCTCCTACTCTTCATCTACACTTTCGTTTCGTTGCTTCGTCTGCAGATACGCTTATTATATCCTATAACACTTGTAGTACAAAGTGCATTAAGTTCATGAGGGGACTCAAGCATGCGAAGTACAGGTGCGTGTATTAACAGAAGCTGCGGACGATATTACAACTATCGATGATTTCTTGGCCGTCTCAGAGAATCACATATTGGATGATGTCAATAAATGTGTTCTGGCCTCACAAATGGAAGACGCCGAAGACTTGCGTGTAAAAGTTGACGCAATCCAAGGACGTTCAGCTCGAAATTGCAATGTAGTGGAGGCTGAGATGGATAATTACGGGCCATGCATTTACACGAAACGTGTTCTTGAAGCCGTAAAAGTTTTGCGATGGGAGGGGACTCATGAACTTAAACCACCCGCTTTTCCCCCGCTTTCCGTATAATGCTTTATTTTGAAAAGTTATTATCTATGTTTGGAGGATACTATGGGGTATTTAATGGTGGGCCGTGAACCCCTATAGTGGTTTTACTTTCATTTTACATTTTGTTGGATTTTACGATATTATGTATTGTGATGTTTTCTACTCGAAGATGAACAGATAAATGAGCAAATAAGAAATTGAAAATAAGTACAAATATAAACAATGGTCCAAGTGTCCGGACAGAAGCGCAACGGCTAAATGGAACGCATTATACTCTGCCGAATGAAATGAAAGTTGTTCTCATATCGTTTACATAAAAGGAAGAAATATTCAGTTTACATTCTGCGGTGTCCTGCTTAAGCAGCAGCCCCTGCCTATTCACAATATGTCGCATTTGCATTCTAAACTACTACAAGACATAAAGTTACGTACAATATTTTCATAATCTCTATGTCACGCGTTTGTGTATAACAATCAAAATTAAAAAATATTATTATTGTTATTGTTATTAATTTAGACTTAAAGCACTAGCACCTAAGGCTATCAGCTTTATTAAAAACTCTACCGCACTTGAGATTTGAATCCGGGATCATTGAGCTGTTAGTCGAGACTCTTAACGCTATTTAAACCATAATATTTTCTCTAGTTCCGCTAATCTAATGTAAAATTTTTAAATATCCCAGATAAATGGCAAGGTGCCAAGGTGAGTCTAGCTATAGCTACAGTATACATTTGTAGTTGTTGTATTTTCTTTTTTTGTTATATTTAACTTTTCTTATCATTTCGTTCTTTTTATAGTTAATCTTAAATAAATATGAAAAAAAAAAAAAAAATTCTATAAATGCACGCAACTCTCCCCTGTTGGCCCGATGTGAAGCAATCTATTTAAAATTGAAATTAACTTAATGTGGATATATATAAGCGATGTGGTTTACGACCATGACTTATCTGTCCGTATACCAATCATTCAAGCATATCGAGGCAAACGTATGAATGTGCATAATATTCGTACAAATTTTTAATAACCATAGAAATGAAATGAAATCAACTAAAAATAATGGAAGTAATTGTGTTTTCATGAATTTATTAAAAGTGTCAAGCATCCATAGATACATATACATATACGTATATAAATGAATATTTATGCATATTTATATATATATATATATATATATATATATATATATATATATATATTTATTAACGAGTACATGTCAGTGACAATATCTTTAAACTCATTAACACTACCTACCTACCCACTCCCTGACGTAAACAAGCGATCATATGAGGACATATGTACATACGCTGTATATAATCAATCTTACAAATTATCTATAAATTCTATGTAACGGCATGGAAAACTTATAAATGTGTGTTAAGCAATTTACAGTTAATTTTTTTTTTTTTTTGTTGTTCTTGTTTTTGTTTTTAACATTTTGTTGCTTTTGCTTTTGCATTTGTGCAAAATGTAAAATAATTAATTTATGGCGACAATTAACATGACGTCCATTGATCTCTCAAACTAATCACGGACATTAGACAAATGTCAATTTATCTTTTCTTTTATGCTGCTGCTGCTGTTGCTCTTGCTCTTGCTATTGCTCTTGCTGTTGTTGTTGTTGCTGTTGCCGTGTGATTGTTAACGTCACTAAGGCCGTTGTTTTACGTTGATTTTCAGTCATGTTATAAATTGCATTAAATTTTTATTAATTTACACACAAAGCAAGCAACTGATTTTTTGTATATAAATTTTTTCAAATTTTTCTATCGCTCACCTTTTTGCCAGTTTCAAAACGTATGGCACGGCAAGCATCTGTTAAAGTTTAAATAAAAAAAAAATCAGAGTCCTTTTCAGTCCTAACACAAGTTTTATAAAC